CCACCTTCCCAATCTTACCCCATCTTCACAAATCTAAAACTTACCCAATCAACGGACAACCTGGAGCCCGCTCCAATCGCCGGCCTCCTCCAGAGAGGGCTGCGGGAGCTTCAGGACCAGCGAAACTTCTGGCGAGGCGTCGAGCGGGCCTGGCTCGAGCCAACTGCTGGTTTGGAGGTTCGGACTGGCTTCCCATTTACCCTCTACAAGAACCAGGGCATTCAAATCCCCGACCACCAATCAAAACTACCAACTAAGGGTTACTTGAGGGGCTGAAAACAAACAAGATCATGATGGCTCCATACAAATGATTCTTGGTTCTGGTTTGGATGTTGAGGAAAGACTAGATGCTCTGCGCATCAAAAAAAACAACGAAGAAGCTGGAAATACGCAAACCAAGCGAGCCGAAAACAAGGCGCTGCACTTAACCATTCCCATGAAAATACCTTTCAAGGGCCAAGTACCTTCTAGGGGTCTTGTTCCCTGCCGATCAGAGCGGAGAGCGCCGCGAGCATTCCTTGCCTGACAGATCTGCGCAATGCACCTGCGGCGCAAGAGTCAGAGCTTCTAGGTCCCTCCGGAAAGTTGGCAAGTGTTCGTAGGGTTTAGCGCGGGTTTAGGCTGGTTTAGGGTGGGCTTTGCTGTTGGGCTGGGTTTGGGTTGGGGGTCCTCGGGGTGGCCTAGGGCCAGACTGGACCTTGTCGGCATTCCGTATGCGTGGATGGGATTCCGGAGACCTAAGGTCACCCAAGTAATCAGAAGATGCAGTCATGATGACTGATGTGTCACACTCAAGCAACATGCAATGGAGTTATTCAAGTTGGAACACGCGCGTGCATTGGAAGCAACAAGCGGGCCCCTAAATTACGCGAAAGCTGCGTAAGCGCGCGTTTATCCATACTTACAGCCACTGTAACTTTTGCCGGAACTCCACATGTTTCCCCAGAATACCCCGAAACCCCAGAAGAGCAGCAAAGCACCAATCTAAACCGCCTACTAACCTGAAAGAGACATGGGAGAAACAAAAGCGCACGTCAGGCGCCATAATCGTAAGAGCTTAGAGCGCGATTTCTCGGTGAGAGCACAACAAATTTCCTTGCAGATCAATAGCCGTTGCTGGTGCTCCTCGGCTACGCTCCTGTCAGCTTGCCCAACGAAATCAAAGAGAGAAACATCGTCTCGACGCAGCTGCTTTCCCGACTCTTGCTTCATTTGCTGCAGCACTGAGTAACGCCCAGAGCCGCGGTGTCGCGCTGAAGGCAGTGGCACGAAGCCACGTAAGGTCTCCGACCAAGGTGCTGTATGCCAGCCTCGCCTCCTGCAGCTCTGTAGAAGCCTGCGATCAGCTTCCAGCTGCGTGACCCGCTGCTCTTCTGCTGGAGTCAGCACTGAGGAGCATGCGTTCCAAACAAAGCGCAACGCCCGCCTCTCGCTGCTGTCGGATAATGCCTTCGTCCCGCCGCCTGGCTTCTCGGACTCAAACAGCTGACAACGCCTGGGCGTTGCGCCAAAAAAATCCTCAGCGGTCTCAGGGCGGCCACGGTGCGTACCCATGGACGCGCTGTTCCAGTATGTGCTGAGTCTCGCCAGTATTCCCATCACTCTCTCGAGTTCTGCGCTTGCCTTATCTTCGTAGCACTCGAAATCAAGAACCTCAAGGAACTGTGTCAAAGGCAATTGCTTTGAAGGCCGCATTCAAACAGTCTGGATTGCATAGCAAGCAAGCAAGCAAGCAAGCAGGCAGGCAAGCAGGCAGGCAGGCAAGCAAGCAAGAAAGCAGGCAGGTAGGCAAGCAGGCAAGTAGGTAAGCAAGCAAGCAAATAAGCAAGCACGTGTGGCAGAGTCAACATCCCTAGCATCGCTTCTGAACCCTCAGCGTCATTTTCAACACCCCGACATCACCAGAAGCTTTGGATTGGGCTGATTTTGTTTAGGGTTGGTTTGGGGGATGGTTTAGCTGCTGTAGGGTCAATTTAGGGCTGGTTTAGGATTGGTTTAGGATGGGTCTAGGGTTGGTACTTGCTTAGGGTTTACGTTGGTTTAGATGCGGCTTGGGGATGGCTTCATGAGTTTGGCTCTAGTTTAGGATGAGTGTTGGGGATTGGTTCGGGGTTGGCTTGGGATTAAAAAGTTTGAGCTCCAGGAGCTCAGGGAGTGAGTCATCTACAAACCTGACACGCCGGCGTCGCAAAATAGGACGTCTGCCAAGCCAAAAAAGGGTAACAGAATCTTGTGTTTCCACCTCAAAACGCCGTGCCTCTTCCCCCCGACTGGCTCCACCTTGTGACTCCTGCCTGGCTCTCCCAAAAAAAGGTAGGGTGTCTGTACTCATGGGGTCCCATATGCATGCATAACCAACGTGTTTACCCGGATCCTTGAGTGACTTTCCCGGGGGACATGGTCAAAATAAACATACGCCCAACATGAATCGCATGGCCTCACTTTGGTTTCCTTTTGGATTCCCTTCAGATCATCCTTACAAATGCTACCCTCCCAAAACAAACATGAATTCCTAAAGAGGGTCCGAGGACAATGGTGGCCGTATTCAAGCTCCACGTGGGTGTGTCTTTCTTAAGATGACCCCCAAAACGGTTCAGGTTGCCCTTTTGGTTCCCCTTTAAAGCCCACAAAAAACAAATGGTCAAATGTCCTTTAAAGCCCCCCGCAAAAAAAAGAACAAAGAAAAAAAAAGAACCAGACCTTTTGGCGGTTTCCCTTCTGGTCTCCCTTTCAACCCAACCCCCCCCCCCAACAAAACGAGGACCCTCCCTCAAAGCCAGGCTGCGCAATTTGCCTTCGGTAAAACCCGCCCGCCTCGGAAGGCGCCGAGAGCAAAACCGCGCGGCCCTGGCGAAAGCAAAACGGCGGAAACGGGTGCGACGCCGCGCCAAGGGAAACGCGTGTAGGGAGCCCACCGCAAAAAATGTCCAAGGATGGCGAGGTCTTGTAAAAAACAACTCCTTAAGAAAACCTGGGTGTTTTTTTCAAGGGAAAGACCTGTTGGCTCGGTTTGCCTGAGAACGGGTGGGTTAGCCTGGTTCTAATCCACCAGTGCTAGCAAAGTACACCCAGATTCGGGCAGGCTGGTTCCTTTTTAGACCCAGGCGGCAAGATTTGAACCTTTCCACTTGGATCTGTGCCATGTCTTGTCTTTCGCTGTCGGTATGATGCTTGATGCTTGCTTGGAAACGGCAGCGCTGCCGGACATCACGAAAACATATTGTGTGTGTGTGTGGATGTGTTTGCTTGGTTAGGGCCCCTTTGGTTTCTTGAAAGCCGCCCGCCCAAAACGGTACCCATAAAAAACCGCGTGTCAACTCAGGCCCCAAAGGCTGATTGCATACATGCGAAGCCATGGCCATTTCGGACCCCCTTGAAAAGGGGGGCTGGCGTCCCACTATGCCCAATTGCAGGTTGGCTCAGCAATAAGCAAGGTTCGCAAAGCAACATACATTCAGCCTTTCATCAGTGGGGACAAGAGATTCGGCACCCTCCAACAGAAGGAAATATAAGAGTTTGTCTCCAAAAATAGTGACCCCCCCAAAACAAAAACAAAAACAAAGTTCCCTTCCCTAAAACCAATGAGGAGGCCCCTTAAAGCACACCCAAGCAACCCACGGGCCGCAGCAAACGCTGCATCTGTTCTTCAAGCCTCTTCGGCTGGAGTCCAGAAGGCCTGGAAATCGAAGTCGATTCCGGAGTGTGTTGGACTCGCAACAGACTCAACTGGCTCAAGGGAAAGGACCCCGGGTTCTTGCGGAAAAAACAACACACACACACGGAAAAAACGACACACACACACAAACACACACAAAACCCGCCTAGGATGTTCAAACTAGATGTTGCAAGGCCTTTTCCAAAAGTGCTGTCCCAGAGATGGCTTTGATTGCAGCCGACTTACCAAGTGGCTCGAACGAACCAACCCACGCTCCAAGTTGGACGCCTTGCCTTTTCAGAGCCAGGGGCCTCTTTGTTTTCGAGTCTGAAAACCCTGGCCTCGTTGACCCTTGCAAAAGCTGATTCTTGTTATTCCTGATTGAGGGCTCCTGAAAGACAACTGTCCTCTAAAAGACACGTGCTAGTTGTCCAGCAAAATGGAAAAGAGCCCTTTAGGCTTTTTGGCGGGGAAGCCACATGGAAGTCGAGCGTTCTCAGGGATCTACTCTCTCCAACTACCTTCTGAAGATGTACTTGGGCGTGCGAAATTTTGAGGTACGAGTACCCGTTTTGGCAGTCGTTTCAAGAGAAGCCAAAAAGAACACCGATGCCCATCTTGGGGGTTCCAAGTTCTATTTACCCTCCGGGGGACTCGAAGCCTCCCAAAATGAATGGCCCTCATTGGCCAAGAGGATAGGGGGGCAAAAAAGAGGTTGGGACTTAGAAAAACAGGTTCCCCCTTTCTCTGTTAATCAACGCAAGGTTCCAAACCAAGATGAAAAGAAGCAACTGTATGTTCGGTTGGGCGCATGTCCGACTCAAGTCGGACAGTTTAGGGCTACGGAGAACCAGTTCTCCACAGAGCCAAAAGTTCTGGGGCATGCAACCAAACCAGGGGCTGTGCCAAAAGGAGCGGGACACTGTTTTGGGCAGTGTCTCCAAGTGCGGATCCCCGTCTTGGACGGCATTTGCAGGAAACCAAAAAAAACACAAGAATTTCTAAGGGTCCTTTAGTTTGAAAAACACCTGCATGATTTCAATTAAACAGAAGGGCTCGAGTCTGACCCGAATTCCCCAGCTCTCCTTCACCCAAGCCCCCAAGCTGCCGCATTTTTTGCAGTCTCCGGATCCAAATCAAAGTCGCCTGTTCCTGCAGGCGCCTCCTTCCGAGTTCGCCAAAAACCGTGGCCGAATCGCCGAATCGAATCCAAACCCGGCGTGATACGAGGGAGGCGAGTGGCGGAAGCCATATCACGTTTTTTGTTGCAGTGTCAAGCACACAAAAGTGGGCCCTGGAACTAAACACTCTGCCCGCTCCAAAGCAAAACCCAAGAAAAGACTGACCCCTGGGTGTGGAGACTTTTCATCTCGGCCCGCGTCCTTTTCCGCTGCCTCCCTCGGTTTCGCTCAATTGCGCTTGACCTTCGCGCGCGATCGAAAATCCCCGCTAACCGTCCCACTCACTTTCGCTTCTCCAGGGCAGGCAGCTTGGTGGCCATGACCATGTCCACACTCCTCGCAGCTGGTTTTTGCGCTTCGCTGAAACTTTTGAGTGGTTTTCCCAAACATCGCAACTGGCCCTGATGTCAAGGCGAATATGGAAAGAGCTGCCTGGAACTGGAACGGACCCCTGCAATCCCCTTCGGGACTTCTGGGGTAATAATTTGGTATGTGGCTACGTGTCAAACTTGGAATCCTTGACATGCATGGATTCATTTTGGCTTCTGCAACGCACCCCCTTTCAGGGACCAACATGTTGACACGGGCATATACACAAACAAAAAAACAAAACAAAACAAACAAACAAACAAACAAACAAACAAACACAAACAAACAAACCAACAAACCAAACCAAACCAAACCAAACCAAACCAAACCAAACCAAACACACACACACACAGTCACAGTCACAGTCACAGTCACAGTCACAGTCACAGTCACAGCCACAGTCACAGTCACAGTCACAGTCACAGTCACAGCGCAGCCCGATGTGCAGTTGCAAGAGGACACTTTTCCCGAGAACCGCGTGAGTGCCCAGATTCCATCTGGGTCTGCTTTTCTGCCGGCCCGCAGCGGAATAAGGCTACTTTCATATCCCCTATCTGCGTGCTTCCGTGTTAAAATCTCGGTCCCGTCAATTCCAGAATCCGTGACCGAAAGCCAAAGAGAACGGGAGAAACCAGGTCCAGGTTCCCCTAGATCCTAGTGGATAAACAAACGTAACCTAAATCCGGACACAACACAGCGGGTGAGAAGAGCAGGCCCCCGATCAGTAGCCAACGCTGCCAAGGGAAAGGTCCTCCCGGCAACAGTGGTCAAGCCAACCGGCCTAGGAGGACCTACCCTTTCTCTGTGTCCACCTTGTCCTGTAAGGGATGCCAAAGACCGCTCTCTGGCTTTCCTGCGCCGAAAGCTCGGCAGAGCATGGCCATTTCTTCGCAGAGCGCGGACTTTATCCACCTTGTCCGCTGCGAACATGAAGAGGAGCAAGGATCCCAACAGTTTGAATGCGGCTATCCGTCTCGAGGTGCGCAGACCTCTTTCATCCGCACCTGGTCCTTGTCAGGGTTGGGGCTCGCACAGAGCCATCCCCCTATGGCCGCTCTGGTTGGGGATTCCCCAGCATCACTGCAGCCGTGGCATCCATCCACCAGTCCATGCGTGGTCCTGGGACCATCGTCAGAGCCAACTTCGCCAGAAAGTGGATGAGCTGGCCTGTTTGCATTTTTGAAGAAGTTTCTGTTCCCAAGAGGGGCTCAAGGTGTGGTGACAAGGTAGGGAATGCCTTTGCCACCCATAGTAGCAAGCCCAACAAAGAGACCACCTGCAGGCATGCTGGAACATTGGATGTAGTTTGTGCAGCTTTTCCTTGCGCAGCCATGCCATGCCCTTGTTGATGTCTACCTGGTAGCCAAGCCAGAGATCCAGGGCATTCTTGTGCCAAGAAATTGGACAGCCCATCAAGAAAAGGAAAAGCATGAAGATCCCAACATTGAGGTCTTCCAAAATAAAAGCATGAAGTCATCTACAAACACCATCACCCAGCGGAAATCCTCCAAGATGTGGAAGGTGAGCCGGGATAGAAGGACCGTATAGGTTCCCACCAAATTGACCCAGAAGGAGTTCTTGATGGTTGTGATCATCCAATCCTGTGGTCGGATTTCGATACGCCGATGGGCCTTGCTGACATCCGATTTGAAGAGGGTAAAGTCATCACCCGGAGGGCGAGGTGGTCTTTTGGCTCATCTTGGTGCGGATGTTGATGGTGGCATCGAAGATGGTTCTGACCTTGTCCGCTTGCTGGACGCCCGCCATGGCCCGCGCACAGACTTTCTGGAGGGCAGCGACAGACCTTGGCCGCTTCATCCTGTGGACAATGGTCGAGGTCATCTCATCCTCGAACAGAGCCGCGCTCAAGTAGGGTGAGGTTTCCGTGGGGTTACGTTCACTCCGATTCCTGCTCCGCCCAGTAAGTGCGGGGCCTTGCTCTGGGTTCGTCCCAGCCCAGGAGCTGCAGAAGTGAGGCATGATGTCCCCCACTTCCGTGTTGTGACCTGCAAAAAAAAGTCCGCTGGATTCTCCGTGTGGATCTAACCCAGCAACTCCAGCCAGGCGTCATCCCAGTTGAAATCCGCTGGTGGTTGGTCAATCTCTCTCACCAACCACCGCCGTGGCCTGGAGACAGCGCTCGAGACAGTCCTCACCCCAGGTTCGTCCTGGGGATCCTGAAGGGCATCAGCTACTGTCGAGCAGGAGGCTGAGCAGCCTCGCTAGGGTCCCCCGAAAAGGTTTCACCACTTGTGGCAGCCGTCCCTGACTCCATGCGCACATCAGCTTCCTCCGATTTCACCCCATCCACAAGGTCCATGGCGCGATCCATACTAGACCGAGGAAACAAAACAAAACACCAGAGAGCAGAGGTCAATAAGCCAGGATCGCCAACACTTGAGCCAAAATGGCCCCGAAGATTCAAGGTACCGAGGCACGACCGAGTACGCATGGGAGACCACTGCAAACGGCACTTAACCCTATGACATCCAAGTTTCACCACACAAGTATGGCCAACTTCAGAACACACACACACACACACACACACACACGCACGCACACACACACACACTTCAATACCCAAGGGGCGGTTTGGTACATTCGTGTACGTCATGCAAGAGAGGAAAGGAGAGACAGGTTCGACTACATCACTTCGAGTTGGCTTGAGAATGCAACATCAACAGCAACACATGGGTCCTTGTAAAGCAATGGCGCAACACACCAGACAATGTGGCTCGTTTGCAGGTACGTCACTGAGCGTCCCCAGTGATGTCACAAGCACACATCCGGTGTCTTCGTTGGTGCAAAACCGGATGAGCTGCTTGCACCCCCTGCATGAGCTGAGAGGTGGTCCCAGAATAGATCTGGGACTCGGCACACACAAACACACACCGCTTCGATGAGGAGGCGGTTTTTGGGTATGGGGGGGTGCCCATGTTTTGCTTGTCATGGATGTGTGCAACGACTTTCTAGCAATTCGTGAGTTGCGTATGTCTTTTTTAGCGGACCCCGAAAACGGGTACTCCTTTTGGTTTCCCTTTAAGACGGGGATCCCTCCAAAAAAAAGACACACCCAATTGTATCTTTCGACCCCTTTCCAACCCAAAGGTCAAATCTGATTGATCAACCAAGTTCCTGGTTTCAGTGGGGAAATAACTTTTCTCGGGGAGATGCTTCTCAGCATGGTTAGGCGCGTCGAATGTGGCTAAGTGGAGATTTACGAATTTGTTTGTTCAATCAAGTGGCTATGATGTTTGATGGTTCGAACCCCTTCAAATATGGTGGACGTTAAAAAAAAGTCGTAGTTCTGATAAAGGGTTCCAGATCAAATTCTGTCTGGTAGTGTCTCCGTTCAGAGTGTACTGCATTCCGTAAGCCACTCTTTTTGTGGGTCCAGAATCTCAAGGCATGCTTGGCCAACTCGATTTGGTCAAGGGGGTGTCATAACCCAAACTAGTAGGTTTATATCTCTCTTTGTCACCACAGGCAGGTGCCACAACCATCTCCCAAAGATCGTTGCAGCGGCTCGATTCTCTGGGCTTCCGCGCTTGTCGCGCACAGAGTCCAGCTCGTCAAGGGCCTTGCTCACCTGGCTGCCATCTCTTATCGCTGGTTTAAGCCACCCGCGTTCGGGCATCTGCATGTGTGGTTATAAATTCAAAATTTCCTGTGGAATGTAGGACGCGTCGCCAAGTGGGACACTACTCCTTGGGAGCATGCGTTACCTGCATACGAGCGCCACCACCTCCTGGCTTCCCTTCGAAGGGGGTCAATTGGCTGCTGGTTTTTCCACGAATGCCCAATGCCGGACCCAAGAAACATCACCTGGATACCTGCTTCAAGACACAACGCCTCGAACGGACTACAGCGGGAAATGTTTACAACGCATCTCATGTCGGGAACACACACACACACACACCTTCTTTGGGCACGATCTTTCGATGGGGACCCTTTGGTGGACTTCACCAATCATTTCAGAGGGGTTACACCATAGCCCAAGGCAAGAAATCTATTCCAATCAATTCAATCGTGCAACGGGAAACCAAAGGCTCCCTCCCGATTTGCGAACCCTTTCCGTTCCTGACCTCCCCCCGGACCCACCCCAAGTTGAAGTTCCTTGCACGGGGGAAACCAAAACGTTTTTTTTTTTTTGGCTTTCTCTTTCACTGTCCCAGGTGAAAAAGATAACTCCCAAAAGCGCGCACGCACATCCACCAGACGGGTATTTGTCAAAATAGGGGGGACTCCCTTTGTTGCTGTTCCTTTTGGTTTACCTAACTCAACCCTACAAAGGGTACCCTCAAAATGCGTATCACCTACAAAAAGGCCCCATCACGAAATCAATCGCCCCGATGCCAATTCCCCGAGCCAAGCAACGGCGTCCGCGCTCATGGCGCCCTCCGCGTTCACAGCGACCAGCTCCCCACCGTCCAGCTTGCCCTTCCGATGTCACATTGGGGCCCCCAGCATGGACCGGTGGCGTTTCTTGGGCTGCAAAACGACAATCCCTGGCCACGTAGGAAAACCAAAAGCTTGTTGCTTGAACAACAAGCGGTTGAAAATTGTCACTAGTGGCTGAACAACGGCCAAACAAATCTGGTGCTTTCCGTTTGGCTTCCTTTGGAACGACCCTGAAAGAATACAAACCCAAAACAAGAATGGGTTCAATAGATGAAGGAATCACCCACGCATCAGGTGTCCACTGGGCTCCAAGCGAAATTCAAGCCCGGCAAGTGCCTTGGTTCCGCCACTGGAAGAAAACAAACATGACAAAACGCCCTCCCAACACAGGAGCCGTCCTTGGACTTGGACGGTTAAGTAGGTGGTGGAAACAATCTTGCATTTAGACCCGGAATATCTACTTCGGGTAGTGGCAATAGGTCTGACCTTCAAAAAAGCAAGGCATCATTCCATCCGGCAACACCCCCCACGTTTTGCAAAACACAACCCCCACCCACCACCCCCCACCCACCCCCCCAAGGACCCAAAAGGCGCTTTCGGGTTTTCCGGTTGACACGTTGGGTCCCTCCCCTCACCTCACCTTCCTTGTCAAGTCGAAGCGGTGTCTCGAATCGCTCGCTTGTGACGATCGAAGCGCGCGAAGCGCTCGCCTGCAGCTCCCCGAGGTCCGCCAGCTTCGCCAGCTGCTCTTGCTCCAACTTCCCGGCCGCGGCCATCTCCTCGATGCTTTGGGCTGGGGTGCATGGAGGGGAGGGGCTTTGGGGTGGGGGATGAGGGGTGGGGGATGGGGGATGAAGAGTGGGGGATGGGGGGGGGGTGCGGGTTTGGGGTGGGGGGAGGGAGGGGGGTCTTCGAAGTTCTAGGTGTCCCTGACTCCACCAAAACGCAGGGGCTTGACTGAGAATCCGTTTTTTTTGTGTGGGGGGAGGGGGGGGGGTGACCAGATTGAGGCGGCCAGGTCAGGAATGTGGGAGAAAAGTTGCCAGGCCAGGAGAATGAGCATCTCAAGAGATTTGCCCCTATGGACCTTTGAGCAATGTTTGTGTCACACACGCTAAAGGTAGGATAAGCTTGGGATTCGCAGTTCGGGAAATAAGATGAAGGAACTGCGTGCTTCTCCTTGGAGACTTGCCGCGCATGAGTTGTCTGAGCTTCCTTTTAATTCCCCCAAAAAACTGTTTGTCTCGGGAAATAACTCCGCGAAGGCACGGGGGGATTCCATGCTTTGCCCAACCCCATGTACCAACCTACGGTGTGGAAGCGAAGCGGTCCGTAATTGTGCCCCTTTCCAGTACACTCACTTCCCGAATAGATTAGCCAGACAAAGTGCAAACTGTTTGTTTACCACCAGGTCTTCCCAAAAAGTGAGGACAAAATGTTTCTGTGTGCATTCCAACCAAATGTGGGTGTTTGTTTAAGCTGGTACACGTCTCGGGGTTCAAAGGAACACATGGAAAACGCCCCAAAACGTTTGAGGCGAGCAAGGCAACCGAGGAATTCACCAGAATTCACCAGGTGATTGTGGTTGCTTTAAAGGGAAACTAGATGAAAACCACCTGTTTTGGGGGGAGGGGTCCGCGATCTTTCAGACAAGTCATTCCCCGCTGGAAGCCTTGGAATTGCCGTGAGAACCACACTAGCTCCAAAAGGGAACAATCAAAGCCATGGACAACCCTGAAGCAAAAACTTGCCTCCAAAGCCCTCACCTTTGTCGCTTCCCAAAAGACCCAAGTAAGACTTCCACTGTACCTACAATCACGTTCAGGCTCAATATAAGGGTAGTTCGCCTCAAACCTGTGTCACTCCTCATTGGGCTCGCAGCAATATTTTACTCGCGTGCACACAACCTGCCCTCTGCCCACACAACTGCAGTGGAGGTACGTCGTTGACACCGTAGAGGATGTTCTTGTACTCCTGCAGTGTGACGTGTGGGTTTGTCTCTAAATTGGGGCACCAACAATTCCAAGTGGGTGGCATCCATTTGGTGTGCCTTTAAAGCAAACTCTTCAAAAGGAGACCCATGCAAATCTACGGGGAGGCTGCACCAGACAAACAAACATGCCCCGTCATTGCGGTTTTTCTCGGAAGAGAAACAACAGAACACCACTCGCCACCCAACAATCCCTGATTCGCTGCCCAGCCAAACATGCACAACCAGGGGTCACTCGATTTCCCCTTCGAAGGTTGCACTTTACTGGAGGGCGAGGAGGGGGGTTCCACTGAATCACTTTTGTCTAAAACATTGGGAACTCGAGAGAACCACTAAAGAGCTAGGCTTCCCCATTCTTTCCAGGGATCCTTCTTTTCAAGAAACCATCAAAACTGTGGGGAAAGAGCTGGTGTCTGAAAAGAACGATGGTTAAAAAGAGAATCACCCCCTAGAAACGAGGAAAGCGGCGCGGGGCGAAGCGAATAAAACAATCGCCTCGCACTCGATGGCGTACTTGCGCTCGATCTCGGGCATCGCCTTGGTGGCCTCGTCCATGCTCAGGGCCTTTGGGCGGATGGCCGCTGGAGCGGGTCGCCCGATTTTGGGCGGAAAGAAGGGGGTGCTCACATGAACTGTGGGAGTTTCCTACTTTCCTGTTTGGAGTTGGTACCTGGGTTTAAAAGGACACCAAAAGGAAAACCACCATTTCGGGGGGGGGGCCTAAGCAAAGACATTCCCATTTGATCTTCTGAGGGAATAGAAATGGGGGGGGGGAGAGAAATCCTGAGTCTTGAGGTTTGGAGCTGTGGGATGAAAGGCCGAAGCAGGACGGGGCTTCACCAGGAGTGATCAAGCACTCGCTTCCGCCCAGCAAGGAAGGAAACGATGCCTCGTCCATCTCAGTGGGCAAGTGACATTTCATGAAAGCCTTCACCGCCTGTGGATGGGAGATCGCCCTAGCCGGTCAATCGCCTCGGAATGTTAATCAAATCAAACATCTGCAGAAGGCCTGAAAAGGAGCAACACTCAAAGCACGGCTCTGTTGATCATGCAAACTGTGGTTTGAAGCTGGTGGCTGCTGAAGCGGTGACCCCAGTTAGTTGGGCATGGTGTGTTTGAGTTGCAAACTATGGGGGCTGCTTCTCAAACAAGGCTATCCTTCTTCCACGGCTCAAGGAATGGTCCCTAATTTTGAGCAACATGGGGGTGGGTCAACATTAAACCACCCGGGGACCGCAGATTTTGGTCCATGTTGCCACTTACCAGGGCAACCCATTTGTTGGTACCTATTTTTGACCCACAGCCACATGAAAAAGGCGGCTTTGCCTGTTGCGAGTTCATCGACTCATCGATTCGCGGCTCCTTGGCGTTCTTCCAGCGCTCGCTGTGCTCCTCCGCGTAGGCCTCGTAGATGTCGTGGGCCGGGTCCGTGGTCCTCGAGCGGCACATCCGGCGCAGGGACCCCGAAGCTCCGAGGGCCGCTGGATTTGATTTCTAAGCTGAGCTGACTGACCCAGATTTTGTTCCTCGCTAAAACGAAGGGCAAACCTGGCAAAGAGAGTGAAGTCTGTTAACTCAGGCAAGCAAGACTCAAACTGGTTTCGGAGGAAACCGCACCCCCATTCTCAATCTGGCCTTTACGGATGTCCCGGATCAAGATTGCGGTTCAGGGAGACCCGGGGTTCAGTTTGAGCTGAACATCACGTCGACCAAGGAATGTCCTTTTGGACCGGGGGTGGTAAAACCTGTTTGGAAATCACTTCTACTGCATAAAAGGGAGGGGAAAAGATGGTCACCGCCATAGATCTCCTTGGATTGGGAAACCGGAGTGTGTAAAGACTACTGAAACCTGCGCTTCACCTGTTCACCAGGCAGTCTTAGGGATGCCTCTGGGCCAACAAAAACACGGTGAATCGTCCAATCCACCCAAAAAGTGGGGGAAAACCCCGACTCGGCCCCCTGCTGAAAAAAAAACGCAACGACGCCATCCAAGGCGCTTGAGGCGGCGCATGAATGCCTCTTTGGAGCTCTCCCCGGGCCCGGTGAACCAATGCCCCTGCAGGCCCTCCTGGCGGATCGAACGAGCGCGAGTGAGCCTTGGGCATCGCTTCATGCGCGGATTACAAGCAACTCGGAAAATCTCAAATGGTGGATTTTTACTGGGTGACCCACAAAAGGGTATGTATTAGGCGAACACAGATCATATGCCCTGCCTCTTCCCTCTGTCTCCAGACTCCCCACCCCGAGCTTCACGAAATATAGAGCCACTAGCCCCTCTTTTGAGGTTTTGGGGGAGGGGGGGTAAAGACATTCATCTGGATAAACCACCATGTTGGGGAACGTCGCTCTTAACCCCTGGCCGCTAGCCACAAAGCATATCAGGCCCCAAGACCCCCCCCCACTAATAAAAACGGGAAACTGTCGGAAACCCACCCATTTCACGGTTTACCCTCCCATCCACATTTCCATGGAGCCTCACAGTCAGGTTCCTTTAACACCCCTTCTCCCCTTCTCCCCTTCTCCCCAAAGGACCTTCCATTTGCTGGGCTCCAGGGCAACCTGGACAGGCCCCCGAGCACGCGGCCGCCCTTCGGCGCCTTCCGGGAGCTCAAGATCTCGGTGAAGGCCTCCAGCACCGCGGCGTAGCCGGGCTCGAACTTCCGCCCCGTGAGGCTCGCGTGGTCCGCCAGGGCCTGGAAGCACCTCACATCCGCGATCGGGTGAGCGGGTGAGCGGGTGATCGAAGCGGGGGTGATCGGGTGAGCGGGTGAGTGATACCAGGATTTGGTGCAAAAAGGTGGAGGGGTGCAAAAAAGGGGAGGGTGTAACCCGAGCTGGGGGCTGGTAGGTTTATATTCGGCTGCCTCTCTAGCTTTGGTGTTCTTCAAATTTCCCTTGGAAACCAAAAAGGGGCACCTTACAGAAAATAATGTCTACCTCAAGTCCCCTGATGTGTGTCCTTCAAGACCAACCGACTATACGCACACTAACGTCAAGCAAAGTTGCTTCCCTATTTTGCTTTTTCCATGAAACCTGGCGGCTTCCTTTCATAGGGGTCCGGCCCCAGAAAAAGTTCTTCTTCTCGGGTTCCGCCGGGGCGAATCCATAAGCCCCATCTGAGGCGGAGACTCCACGGGGTCCGGAGTCATCAGAGCATCCCCGGCCGGGCGGTAGAAGATGCAATTCACATCCTCCCCGAGGCTGTAGAAGGTGCCTGCATGACAATATATATATATATATATATATGCCTCTTCATATTATGCCACATCATGATATGCATACATGTATGTTTGTATGTGTATATATATATATATGTATATATATATATGTATGTATGCATGCATGCATGCATGCATGCGTGCATGCATGCATGGATGGATGGATGGATGGATGGATGGATGGAACTGTATGTATGTATGTATGTATCTATGTATGTATGTATGTATGTATGGATGGATGGATGGATGTAACTGTATGTATGTATGCATGCATGCATGTAGGTATGTATGTATGTATGTATGTATGCATGTATGTATGTATGCATGTATGTATGTATGTATGTCTGTATGTCTGTATGTCTGTATGTATGTGTATGTATGTATGTATGTATGTATGTATGTATGTATGTATGTATGTATGTATGTATGTATGTATGTATGTATGTATGTATGTATGTATGTATGTATGTATGTATGTATGTATGTATGTATGTATGTATGTATGTATGTATGTATGTATGTATGTATGTATGTATGTATGTATGTATGTATGTATGTATGTATGTATGTATGTATGTATGTATGTATGTATGTATGTATGTATGTATGTATGTATGTATGTATGTATGTATGTATGTATGTATGTATGTATGTATGTATGTATGTGTGTGTGTGTGTGTGTATGTATGTGTGTATGTCTGTGTGTATGTATGTATGCATACATGCATGTATGTATGTGTGTATGTGTGTATATTTATGGCGTGTATAGAGAGATATATATTATGATACATATGTATATATTTGTATATGTCCACCCCTGACTGGGTGGTTTAAATTGAGGGGATCCCCAATCATTTGTGAGTGGTTCTTGTTCGCTGGCATAACCGTGATATAATGAAGAATATACCATTTTCATGAAATTTGCCTCATGGATGATCTCATTGCAGCCCAAAATGGGCCCAAATAAATTCGGCAAATGTATTCTCACTCTGCTACAAAAAGTATGGGCAGCTCAAATTTTGCTGAATTTCTCTGACGGGCGGGATCAGAAAGGGAGATCTTTGTTTTTTGCCTTTGAAGGGAAGCCTGCCCCCTGTAGCCCCGAGGTTGCAACTGGGGTGTTTGGGAAGGAGAGCTGTTCATCCCGCATGTGAAACCTGTTGTAGGGAGACAGTCGTTCGCCAGGCGCTTGAAACCAAACAACAACCATGGCCCACTTTCCCTTCGAATCTGTCTGTGCAACATAACCTTGAAACCCATTAAAACTGGGTTTAGTGTTCACAAGGGAAACCCAAATGGACTAACCTGCTTCGGGCGCTAGAAAGGTGGTGGCCTTCCCGGTGGAGAACAAGCCAAATACCTTGCTTCGGACACTCCCCACCCTCTTCCTTCCGAGTACTTTGCGAACCAAAAGAAAACCGTCAACTATTCTGGTGCTCAAACAAACCCGTGCAATCCCCTGCAGCTCTGTCATTGTCTGACCTGTTGAAAGGCAAGACATTTGAAAGGCCATCTTTGGGGATTTGCTTGGGGGTGGGGGTCAAACACTCCAAGCATTCACCAAAGGCGCCCTTGCCGCCGTCCATCTGCACGGCCCGGTAGAAGGAAGTGCCCGACTGCACAGGCACGTACCTCACTTACAAGAGCAGCGTCAGCTGGGATAAGTCAGGATAAGCCTTAGACCTTGACCAGAATAAGCCTGGTTGAGCCCTTGCCAGGATGTGGTTAAGCCAAAGCAAGCCTATTAAATTCCTGTCTATGTTTCTGTACAAGGCTCCCTTGACAGTTGGCTGCGACGGACCAGAACAAGGCGAATCCCTTCAGCGGAAGCCCAACGATTCTGTGCCAAGCAAAATAGGACGCTGCAAAAGAGTGCCCAGTTTTTGACGCAAAAGGAACCCCGGGTGACAATCAACCCGCCACGGTCACCAATCTGGACTCTACAGTCACTCAGGTTCGGACTTGGATAAGACAGAACCAATCTCGTGGGCCCAGCAAAATGCCTGGAACTAAACATCGGAAACATCATCAAGCTGAAACTCAACAGCAAGTTTGGCCCAATCACAGTCACGCCGAAACCACCCGAACGGCACGCACAACGACCCCCACCGGCCCCCACCATCAAACAAAACTCCGCCCGGCAGCGCGAATTTGCGCGGGCGCCCTTTGGGCCTTGCGCCGCTTTTGGGAGGAAACCCGAGGCGCTCGTCGCTGAAGAGGATGAAGTTGCCCATGAGGCGGCCGGCGCACAGCTCGGTGGCAGTGGCTTCCTAACGAGTTGCATTCAAGTGACCGGGCCTGGAAACTAAAAAAAGGCCAAGCGTTTGCGACACAAAAGGCAAAGCACAAGGGAAACCCAAAATCTCAAAAGCTAGGTCAAGACTGGCTCGACAGTCGGCTTACAACTCAGGTCAGGGTTGTTAAAGGGATGGAACGGCAAAATCCAAAACATGTGTGAGACCTGGGAAACAGAAACTCGAGAGGAAGTGAGGCCAAACTCTGGTATTGGCTGGGTGCCAGACTCATTTTGTAGCTGGTTTCCCACATCTCTCACACGTCCGGAGCTCAGGGATCAAATACCCAACACACATGGAAGTGCACCGCCCTCCAAAAACGTTTAGTCCTCCCGAAAAATGCTTACAAAGTCCAGAAAGCTTGGGCAGTGGGAAGTGGGTGGAAGGGTATCCCCTACTCCAAATACCTCCTTTTTCGTTGTATTTTGGAGCAAAGGGTCGACATCATACCCTGAAAAAAGCGGCTATTGGGTGCAGAGGGTATCTATCATCTTTGCTCTTGATGGAGAAAAAAACAAAAGGAAAAAAAACTGCTTGTCCATGGTAAATACCTCCTTTCTTAGTAGAGGGTCGACATCAGACCCGGAAATTGGGTGTACCGGCGGTATCCGTTGGACAGGGGTGTCTTTTTGTCACCTTTTGTGAGAAAATTGGCGACCCCCTCAAAAAGGAATCACTTTTGTGGTGGCAAAAAGACCCCCCCCGTCGTTGGCTCTTGGTAACCCTGGACCACAAAAACCTGGTTGACAACCGGTAAATACCTCCTATTGGCCGGGTGGAACCGGGGGGATCCGTTGGATCGCTCTTTTTGTTCCTTCCTTCCCACCGAGTCCTTGGCGATGAGCTTGGAGTAGTAGGCCTCCCCGTCGTGCTCCAAGTCGTGGGGGTGGAAGTCATGGAAGGCCTGCGAAGGTCGACAGGCGGTCGGAGACGCGTGCAGTGAGGCAACCCGTTTTGGGGTGGGGTCACTACTTCAATTTCCTCCCCCAAGAGAAACAAAAAAAAGGAAGAAACGTCTGCCCTGTTTGGGCGTGTCGCTATTTTTCTGGGGGGGAGGCCCTTTTCAGCTTGGTTTAAGGGAAACAAAACGGAAACGGCCGGTCCAAGTTCCTATTTTATTGGCAGGTGTTGGCGGAGCCCAAAAAGGTTGTGTGGGTCCATGAAGTGTTTTCGACCGCAACCGGTCTTTGGTCGACCGCAGACCCGCTTTTCTTTTGGGCCAACCAAAAGGCAGCTGTTGGTCGGAAAACCAGCGGATTGGAACGAGGTCCCCCCGTCATTCGCTGCGACGCACTTGCAATAGCCGATCTTCTTCCGCTGCCGTGCCTACACCGGGGCCATCATTTTGACAACCGCCCCAGGTGCTCATTGACAAACCGCCTGAAATGTAAAGGCTTCCCTACCTGTCCCTGTTTAAACCCAAGTCAAAACCACCTGGGCCTAAAAGGTACTATCTAAATCAACCCAAAAAGCACAGCCTCAGCTCATCAACATTGGCCTAACGGTTGCTGTCTAACATCACCCCTCTCAAGCCAAGCTCAATTCAACATGTGCCTAGAAACGGGCGATTTCTAACCCTGGAATCCGGATACATGACATGACGGGTCCACCCCCGACCCGCCAAAAAAACAAGCCATCGGCGCCTCCCGTGCCCAGGTGGACTCGTGGAACTGCCGCTTTCGGCGCTGCAGCACGGAGTAGAGCTTGAAGCGCACGTCGTAGATCTCCGCGTACCACTTCGTGGGCATCATCTCAGGCGGAGCTGATTTTTTGAAGGTTGTTTTTTTACTATTATTGTTTTAATTCCGGGACCCCGGGGGAAGAGTCTAAGAGCTTCGCGTTTTGCTTGGCAATGCAAGCAGACTCCCTTGAAGGATTGAACTTTGTGGATTTGGAAAATCGTCACACATCCCTGAACTGAAACATCGAGAAACCTAAGGGTATGATACCGCCAAGTTTTGGATGACAAGTGAGCGCCAGGCCAAGGGGCGTCCTACAAGAAGTTTGCACCAAGTTTAATGGCTCCAGGTTGGGAAGGTGCTTTTTGGAGGGTAAGCTTGAAAGGGCCTTTCGGGTTTAAACAAGGCAGAGAGCCGCGCAACACCCCGAAAATGACAAGCTGAAACATCGATCTATTTCTCGGGATGACAAGAGTCGATTTCTCTGTCCCTGCTGTGGAGCTACCATACTTACTGTTGGCATGCTTTTGGATGCACTGAACAAAGGCCATCGCCAAAAGGGACTTGGGAGAATTGATTCGGGTTTGTCACCCTGGTCTTGTGGCGACGATCATGGGCCGCCAAGTTTGCATGGTTCAAAAAGCTGAGTCCCACCATTCCCCCGAATAGACCAAACTCGATGTGCTGACATCGGAAAAACACTGCAGCTCGCGCGACCCTTTCTTGGCTTTTGGTTTCCGGTCCCAAACCCAAACCGAGCTGGCCAAACTCACACAGGTCCAGCGTGTCCAGCGAGAGTTTTCCGAGAGCCCGAGGTGTGGATCCAACCACCGATTGATCCCCGCTCTCATTCCTGTGCAGTGCATATTCCCGCGCAGAAGTGACATTTTAGAGAGGTCTGGAGGTCTGGCCAGTCGAGAGCCCACTGGGTCAACAAGGGCAAAATCACAGACTTCCACACAAACCCTTGGCACCCGAAAAAGCCCCGGAATGGATTAATCTCCAGAGGTCCGCAAAAGTGGTGATCTTGAGAGGAAACACCTTTGGATTGTCACCAAGTCTGCGATAGGGAACTCTCCCGAGGTGAGTTGGGTGCCTGGCCCGATCGCCTCCGCCAAAGAAAACTTTGCCAAACTTGGAACAAGTTGGAAACAACCCCTGGGTGAAACTGATGCAACTGGCATCACAACCGCAAGCAGCATGAAACCCATGGCCATGCGACTGGCATCTGGACAACCACAAGCATCATGGAAAACCCATGGAGGGCTCCTTTCCCCAACCAAAGAGGACGCCGCTGCCTTGCCGCCTTCGCCCGCGATGCTCGGCTCGCGACTCGGCTCGCGACTCGCGACTCGCGACTCGGCTCGCGACTCGTGACTCGCGACTCGCGACTCGCCTCCGGGAAAGTGCGGGCGTCGCCGCCGGTCTTCGTGAGGTAGAAAATCATGTGCTCGATCAGGGGCCCCCGGAAGACGTCATAGTACTCGAAGGAGGGGCGCCTAAGGTGAAACCGCTGGAGTAAAGGATGTGGGTATGTGTACAATATAGATGGATAGACAAACAAACAAACAAACAAACAAACAAACAAACAAACAAACAAACAAACAAACAAACGGAGAGACATACAGAACAAAAGCACCTGACACATCCCATAGGTTGGTACCTCCAAATACAGGGTTTGTATGGCTGGCCGAAGGCATTTCCTAGGCCACAAACCTCGAAGCCAACTTGAAGGGCAGTTTCGGCTTCTTCATCCGTTTTGCAGGGTACTGCATTCCCACCAAACATCGAAACAACCCATCTGTAAGGGTCTGAGCCACTGCAACGTTGGATCCACCACATCTAGCTCGCTTCAGCTTGAAGTGCACTGGGGAAGCGAGCCTTCCATTTGCCTTCGTTGGAAAACATCAGCATATTTCCAGTGATAGATTCCCTGTAAAACGAACAAGGGAGAATCGCAAACATGGGTGTGTCATTCTGTAGAAAAACCCCCCAAAATGGCGGTGTTCCCTTGTAAGCCTTGTGAGCAAAAGAGGGTCGCCTCCAAAAAAAGTCACTGAACCACCCACATATGCATCCGCGCTTTGAATGGGTACCATGAGGCGCGCCCTGAATCCGCACGCGTCTCCGCGTGAATCCGGGGCTGCGGCTGGTACAGCAGCTTGTTGTTCTGCCTGGTGGTGCCGCGGCCATCGAAGGTCTCCCAGTTCCGCTTCAGGTCCGCCTTCTGCTTGGCGTCGTAGTCCTCGGCATTCACGAAGCATTCAAGGCATATGGTGAGGCTGGGTGGTGGGAGGCTATTCCCCCTTTTAGAACCCCTAAAAAGTGGGCCCCCCCGAAAACACCCAAAAAAACACCTGCCTAATTTTTTAAAAAAACGGGGGCGGAAAACTTGGGTGGGGGGCTAGGGGAAGCCAAAGGCATTTCGGGAGTGCCTTTCTTTGGTGCATTCAAAGGGAAACCGCCAATTGGGTTCCTGGACTTTTTCGAGAACGCGAATGGTTGAGCAACAAATTCGAACCTGGACCCAATCTGGACCAAATATGTTTCGCCAGCGTGAAGCCGAGATGTCCGAAGTAACCCTCCATGGGTGAGGTGACTTCTCCCCAAGCTGGCGGCAATTTCTGGCTTCTCTGGCTTCCGTTCACCTCTATTCAAAGGTGCCAAAGTTTAGGGAACACCCGAATGGATGGATTCGACTAGTTCTGCCCTGTCTCCCCGCCCCCCGCACCAAACTCCCTGAAAGGACCTGGAAAATTGCGCGCAACTTGAGAGTGGTGTCAAAGGCCATGGGTAGCTGTTCGCCTCTGCTGTTTTGCAGCTTCCAGAATCTTGGATCTGTGCTTCCAGCTATAGGCAGTTCTCATCTGCTCAGCTTATTCGCTTGGATCAACAATTGTTGATAATTTCGGTCGCAGGCAGGCGCAGCCTTTCCAACGTTTGCAAGCGGACTTGTTTCTGGTGCGTTTGTCTGACTTGCGTGTTTTGTAGGTGATCGAGGGAAAACTGTTGAGTTTGCCACAAGCCGTGGCAAGTTTTGGTCGGTCAGTCGAAACCAAGCAAGTTATGGCTGGCTCCTGGGTTGCTCGACACATCAGGTTGGGCTTCAAAACTAGATCCGGAAAGGGGCGCCCCCCACCCCCCGCACAAAACGAAAAGGAGAACCCATCCAAGAAGGCGGAGAATTGGCACAAGTCTGGCCTGTGGCCCTGCCGTTGCCCAATATTTTGCCCACAGATTCAAAAAAAAACTCCCCTACCGGGGAAGATACCCTTAAATAACACATGGCAAAGGCTGGATGTCCCGTGTAGGGCTTGGCTTTGGAGCATTCCTCAACAAACCCCAGGTGTGTAACGAATCGGCCTGCGCAAGCTCTGCGATGATCCCAAAGCGGAGGGCTCCCTCCTCCCTTCCCCGGTTTGGCCGGACGGCTTTTCAACACTCCCATGCCCCGCAGATGTTTCAAACAAGTTGCCGTCTAAAAAATGTCAGAGTCAGAGGGATCCTGTTTTGGGATGGGAAACGGTCAATGAACATGTGATTGAACGCAAGCGAGTTCATACGAGTGAAAGCGCAAGGACATGTACAAGAAAGCATTTGGGTAAACATACCCCATCCATTTAATCAGAATATGTCTACATAAGTGAAATTGCTGGATGAAAAAGTGCAAGCCATAAACGAGATTCATCATATCTGCCCAGGCAAGTGTTATTGCAATATTGCAACCAGCATTACAACTGTGCATCGCAGCATCGCATGTTGTTGCTTCTCGATTGATACTTGTAGGCTAGCAGCATCCATCAGGGACAGGACCGGAGAAGGGCAGATCACATCAATTCTATGCTAAGCGAAGGCAACCAAACATGTAACATGGAGTCTGACTACGAGTCCTGGAAGACCATGCTCCTCTCAAAGGGGACCCGCTGGGTTCCATAGTTGGTGCGAGTGCTTCTGGCTTCTTTTCCGAGCGAGTTCGGGACTGGAACCCTACGAGATCCCGGGCCGGCGCCCCGGGCCCGCGCCTTGCTCTCGGGGTCTTCCACCGCGCTGGCCAGGTGGTTGTGGTAGAAGTGGTGCTTCTCCACGAAGGCCTGCCGAAAGAAGAAAACAAATAAAGAGAGAGACGCTTCGGACACAAAGGCATTGTGCGATTTGACCACCGGAGCCATGGTTGCAGTTCCCGCAATGGGAAAAGGGGTGAGGCCATCTGAGTTTGGGAACATTGTGAGTCCCTTGTTCCCAAACGGACCTGAAAAATTTCACCAAGCCTCTGGCAACTTGGAACCCTCGCTCGAGTTCGCGCAGGCGAACCGCAGTTTGGGGTTTCGAAACGCCGAGTTGAGACTCTCAGCGGCGCGCTATCTTTCATCAAGGCATGAGTTCGATATGGAGAGAAGCCACAAAGCCCCTCTGAGCCAGTAGAAGCAGGGAATTGTTGGGCAACACCTCCCTGACAATCACTTCCGCGAGTCAGCGAGAGGAGACAATCCGATCTTCCCCGCGATGAGCTGTTCCCTGCTCAAGACATGGCTCTGTCTTTTCGGAACAGGAATGGTTGGGTTGCTTCTTGCGCACCTCGAATCCCAACCAAAAGTAGGCCCCTCCCCCAAAAAAAAGAAACAGGCAGTCAAGAAATGCTCTGGATTCCCTGCTGCAGCAGCAGCAGCAGCAGCACGGCCATACTGCGAAGCAACCTTCCCCCCAAACAAATTGCTGGCCGGAGAGAGGACACTGGTCCATCAAAAGGGATGCGAGAGAAGCCGCACACTGTGGGGAAACAAACGATTCCTCCATCCGCACATCCGCTACGTTTGATTCCCGCGCCCGCATGTAAAGAATGACCAGCTCACACAGCTGAAGTAACAGATAGACGCCCCGGACAGGATTCTGCATCATGTCGGTTGCAAACTTCCTACTTTGAGACATTTACGTGCCCAGATACTTTGCCCAGTGCCCTCGTAGAACACAAGACCCAACTTTTCTTTTTTGGGGGGTCCACTTTTAGCAGGGATTCCACCAGGATTTCAAGCTGATGGCATCCAGTTCAAGTTGTCTGTTTCGTTGTGAGGAAGCCGTGTCTCTTGATGCAACCAACTCTTTGAGTAGGCAAACCGAAGGCAAGCAACGCTCCCGGAAAGCGTTCCATATCTGGACCTAAGAAAAGGCATCTCAATCGTGGGTTCTTGTGAGGGTATGCCCTCTTGGCTTGTGAAGATGCTTAAACTGAAGTCCATCGCTGGCCAGGTCCGAATCCCTTTGACACATCCCCAGATTTGCCGGATGGATCACCCGGCCTGCCAGTACTGGTCCGAGTCCAGCCACTCGGACTGGGACAGCAGGGAGATGGGCGGGTTCTGGAAGGAGATCCAGAGGGCCCGTGCGCCGTTCCTCGGTTCTAATCCACATACACAGCGCTTCGCCCTGCACATGGCACACCCTTCCTTTTGTTTACAAATCTGACCCCTCAGCAGACCCCTCCAACCCCCCCTCCACGGAAAACCCAAACCACCCCCCATCAAAAAAAAACTCATCCCACCCCTCGACACCTGCTCGCAGCTTGAAGCTTCCCCCTTCAGCCGGCGGCTTTTGCCTGGGCGCTTCAAAATCGTCTCGGACTTCTCCACGGACTTCTGACAGCTCTGAACCGAGGCGTCGAACAACTCCCAGCCCTCCGTCTGCTTCTTCACCGCCGCGCTGTGGTCCTGGGAGATGGGAACCGGTAGATACCCCTCCCACCCAGAAAAACACACGGAACCTGACAGGGGGTCCCTTAGGAAGATGGTCCAAACCAGGACCCCCCGAAACGTCAGGTTCCATGTTGATTGGTGGGAGGGTAGGTTGGAAGCCGCCAGGATGTGCTGTTGGAAACCCAAAAAAACACCTTTTTGGGGTATCGAGGATCGAGCCTCAACAAAAGACACCCCGGAGCAACCCCCACTGAAACCAACGTAAGATGGCCGGTGACCTATAGAAGCAAATGAGAATTCGTTTAGTCTCCACAATACTCCCTGTTTCCAAGAATCATGGAAAATGCCCCTTACACACCACCTCCAGGCTTGGTCTACTTTAGTCTTCCCAAGGTCTGTTTGGCACCAAGTGTCCCCATTCACCTGGAGGGGAGGGGGGGGGGGCATTATCACAACAAGATGACAGAGGCTTGACCTCCACTTTACTTTCCCCATGCGGTCGGGGAAAATAGTGGAATCTGATCTCACTCGAGTGGATTCACAACATTTACAAACTGCTTCTGTGCCGCCGTACAAACCGCGATTCAAGTCCAACGCAAAAAGTGAGTACACTCCCTCCATCATGGAACCTCCCAGAAAAACCTCTGTAAATGGAACCATCCAGATTAAGAAACCCTCCCAACAAACCACCGCTCCCATTCTTTTGGAACCCAAAACTCCGCGGAACCGGTTTCCCGAAACCGGGGACCCCCGAAAAACCCTTCACTTCGGGCCCCGCCTCCTTGAGCACCTGTTCCAGCAGCGTGGACTGCTGCTCGTGGAAGCCCTTGAGGCAGCCCAACACCTCCTGCTCGAAACTCGACTCGGCGTGTGCGAATCCAAAAAAACACAAATGCTTTGTTCAGTGTTTAGCAATGCAAAAAAAGAACGAAGGAAAAATCAATGTGGCGAGTGGATGCAAATGCAAAACATGTTCCACCGTGTCCAAGATGCGGTGAAGGTTCTTCTGGGTCCCTTCAGGAAACCGGGGCGAGGGGGGTTGGCAAATCACATTGTCCTCTGGATCAAACCGCAATGGACATGGATCCGCAATGCTTTTTTCTTCTCTGGTTTCCTTCTCGGAATGCGCAGGGACCATCAAGTCAGCTGTACTGAGGTGTGTGGGTATGAATTTGAAGTGGTTCCTGGACTTATGTCCACCCAGCGTTTACGTTCCATGTTGAATTATATCGCCACATCTCTCCCTCTAAACATCACCCCACCCACAAAAAAATGCCCAGACACTCCCCAAAATGTGTGTGTGTGTGTGTTGTGGTCACGGTTCCCCAACAACAAAAATTATCTACTCCGCGGTTCCAAGGAGTCCCAGCTTTGGCTTTGCCGCCCGTGCCCCCGTCGCCCGTCTCCTTGTTGCTGATCTTGCCCTCCCAGGCGCTCCAGTCAATGCCTCCCGAGCGCGGCTTCGGAGAGGCTCCGGCGTGGGGTCAAAAGGCACGAGCTTTGGAAAAGCGGAAGGTCGAGGGGCCAACCAAGATCTGGAGTCGCTGAGGCCACATTCATTCCATGTCGAGATGGCAAAGTGATGACAAAGGATAGTGTGCGTGGCACCCTGTGTGAGCTGTCACTATTCAAAAACCACAACTGAAACCCGGCATCAAGAAAGACTGGCCAGAACCATCTGCATTGTTCTACTATAGTTCCAAAGCCTGACTAAGATTTGGATCCTCAACCAAAGGACCTTCACAGTGAGCTCAGGAGTCACCAAAAGCGGGCGCCTCCAGTCCAAGTCCCAAGTGTTGATTTTGGCCACCGAAAATCAGTTCATATAATTTTGATTCTCTGGGAGCTTGGGGTTCCTGCGCCCCACACCCAGTTGCTCCACATATTTGCAGTCGGCAGATGCATGCTGCGTATTTGTGTGTGTCTGCCTGCCGTCAGCGAAGCACGGTCAACTTTGATGGACCCCTTAAGCAAGCTTCGCCATCCCGATCCCAGCCTGAACGTGAGAAATGAAAACGAAGCTCTTTTCTTGTCCAATTGTGCTAGTTGCATGTTCAACCAAAATTGAGTAAGCAGGTCGGCAAGGCGACAACATGGCTGGTTCCCTCCGCATCATCGTCATTGCCCCAGGACCCCACTGCTGAAACAAGATGACATATTATTTGATGAGGACAAGGGCATGATATAATCAACACGGGAGAGCAGTGTTACTGCTTTGAGGATATAATTAGGATTCCTAACTTTAGAGACCTAACTTTGAGAGGCCTTGTGCCATCTCTTTAACTTGAGGTTGGTAAGCTAAGGGCAATAGAATGGGGTTGTGAGTTATCTAAGAATAAACAAATTAAGTGATGATCAGAAGAGAACTATGAGGCTTATACTAGGGATTCGGGGATGGTCCTCTACTCCTTTTAGGGATTTGGATAGCCAATGCAAGGGATGCTGGAGTTTTGACCATGGCACATATGGTGGCTAATGTGCCAATTTGTTCGCCTTTCCGAGTGTGTGTTGACTGCGGGAGAGACTCCCTGATTGCATGCTCCACTAACTTGCCCTAGACTGAAACTAAATTAACCTGGCAAACCAACAGGCCAAGCGCCAGCCGTTTTCGCAACTTCGGGCCAAGCCTCCGGACCTCCCCCGAACCCCCCTCCCCCCCCCAAAAAAAAAAGCACCCCAACCTCTGGGTCCGGGTCCCCCAAAAAGTGCGACCTATGGGGACGCGCCTTTGGGCGCCTGCGCGGAGTCCACCAAGGTGGTGACCTGGCTGTCCCTCACCCGCAGGCGCCGGAACTCCTCAGGCCGGTTCAGTCCCTCGGCTGGGCTCAACCCGGAGGGTTTCGCCCAAGACGGAAGGTTGGCCCCGGACGAAGAAAAAAGCTCTGGTTGAGTCATGGGAAAACACCGACACCCCCCTTTGTCGTGGGGGCTTCATCACTTTGAGGGGAACAACCACCTATTGGAAAGGGGGTTAACAGCCGCGGACAAAACATAACGGCTATCAAGATTTCACCAACCTGGCTTGTTTACAGATATGTATATATATATATATGTGCTAGCACCTATAAGGGCCCAAATAGTTGGAATATCATGTCAATCATGAGGGCTGTCCCCATATAATTGATGGACCTCGTAGCTACTATGATAGACAATAATCAGGGGCTTACTAACTTTGTGGGGTGGTGTTCAACCAAGTTGGGTCGACTTAATACTTAATAGTAAGATATTGCATGTAGTCATTTAGCCCCCTACCATAGGGGGGAGAAAGAGCAGAAATCCCATGAAAGACATGGGTCTGCCTGGTCTTTTCTGGGACAGTCCCCTGGCAGTTGTGGTTGGCTTACGTGCTACTCAGTCCAAGGATGGAAGTTATGCAGCAAGAAGCATTGACCTGTGTGTGTGTGTTGTCTTCCATGTCCATGACCTTGGATCCCGGCCATGGGCAAGCATCGGTTGAAGCAACCGGCCCCTGGTTCATGAAGGGAAGCCAAGACGAGGAGTCTTTCAAAGTTTGGTGGCTTAAAGCATGTTGGAACAGCAAGCGGATTCATCGCATCCACGGTGCAGCTGCTGCAGACACACATGGAACCCAACATGCAATCGTGAGGAATCTTCTGTTCAAAACCCCCCTTTTTGAGGTTTCTCGTAAATTTGGAGGGGAGTGATTCAAGCCAGCATGAGTTTCCCTACTAAACTAATCGAGAAACCTTCATATGTGAGGTCGCAAACTCACCCAGAGGAATCCCGCCAATGCTCCCATATTCACAAAACTTTAGGGAATTATACTGGTCTTCAACTCAAGCAGGCGCGTCGTCACACCATCATATGGGTTGCTTCCAAAAACAGGCGCAACATATTGGTTCCCTGTTGGTTTCCCTCTGACTATCCTAAGGGAGGTCCCCCGATTGGAACAAGACACTAAACCACAAAATGCCCAAAGTCTAACCCCCCACTCTCCTTGTACCCTCCCTACCCCAACCAAACCTTCCCTTTCTCCTCCTGGTTCTTCTCCCCCACGGCATACTCCTGGAGCATATGCCACCGATCCCGCTTCGGCAGCGACCGGAGGCTGCGAGCGACTCCGCGGCGCATCATGATAAGAAAAGGGATAAGGCGGGGCGCGCGGCTTCCGGCGAGTCAGGCGCGCCGAAACGTCTTTCCTTGGCTTGAGCCGAGGTCGCCTGAGCAATGCAAACATCATGAGGAGGTTAGGACCACGTGGACAGCACAAGATCACAAACGCTAACTGTGACTCATGTACTGGAAGACTGGGCTATACACATATATAATATACATTTATGTCCATCCATCACCCCAGCCAAAGGAAACAAAGCTGATGTTGAAATCACCCAAATGCGAGAGACAAGGACCACTGCAAGAGACATGTGAGCCTTATGTTCAGAATCATGCTGGTCATTGTGTTGACTTCCCCCCGTCTTGGACGGAAACCCGTGCCAACCGCAAGTTGGCCTAGCGCGAGGCCACAGCACGGCCTCGTAAAAGGCCCCAAGTGCGGGAGCTAAAAGAAGTGATGTGCATCAGTACATTCCCCTGGAAAGTAAGCATAACTGCCAGGTAAGTGGTACGGTGGATCAAAGTTCTGCACCACTTGGTAGCTGGTTTATCTCAGTATTCATGGGGTTCATCCATCCCCACACCACACACCAAATCATACCGCGCACATCCAATCAGGCAAAAGCTGATTGCAACTCCAGGGTTGGGTTGGGCTGGTCAACTTTTAGCTGTAGTCATTGGATAGAATCGTGGCAAACCCTGCCCGCTGTGCGCCTTTTTACCCCCATGTTGTGAAAAATCAGCGCACCGCCCTGCCTTAAGTGGAGGCAACCCAAGAAAGGCAAACCACTGGGAACCCCTTCTTCAACAGGCAACCCCACCCCAACTCTGCCTCATAGAAGTGCTGCGAGACCCCGCGGGCCGTGCGCAAATGCCCACTTCTGCGAAGTGCCCGCATCCGGACGTCCTGGCGACTGGAACTGCGAGTTGCGGCGCGTGGATGGCATACGTGGGGGCTGCCGTGGACAGCCAAGTGCTCGAAAATGGCGGTACCAAACGCCCTATTTCGGATGGCCTCCAACCGCGCACAGTGCGCAAAGATCAATGCGAAGCGAGCATGCAACAGCGCAGCAACCCTAATTTACCAGTCCCTGCTGCAAGTGGACATGACTTCGGAGTTTGAGCGTTCGGGAGGCACTTTTGCCTGACCCTTTTGTGACATCTTCCAAAGCATGGGCCCTACACTTTGAGAAGGCTCCCCGTCAGCGTGCCACCGTTCCACTTTGCAATGCCATGTCTGCTGCCTGGCTTTTGCAAGCATGCAACAGGAATTGAACGACAGGCCACCCGCTAAAGCATCCGATTCCACTTCCTGATGGGCTTTGATGGTTTTTGTAGCATCACCAGCAACATCCCTAGCATCTTGAGCGAGCTGTTGGCACGGCTTGGCTTGTTGAGGTGGGGAATGGTTTTGGGTCGACTTTGGGTGAGTGAAAGTTTCGGGTTCCTTTAGAACCCTTGGCGGAACCCTCCACGACCCTTCGGAACCCCGGAACCTTCCAACTGTTCCAAGCCTTGCTGGAACCCCCTAGTTGACCTCGGAGCTGCTCCACTCCGGAGCTTGTCTGGGCAGAGACCCCGAGCGCTTCAATTTCTGGGTTCCTCATATGCCAGAAAGATCTCGCTCGAAATTGGCAACCAAAAACGCGACGTTTAATTCGGCCGAAGAAAACAAATCGTGCTTTATTTGTTGAGGGAGGGGACCGGCAATCTGGGTTTCCTCGCAGCTGTTTGATCGATCCGGTGCGAACCGCAAACGCGCCTCCAACAGCACAGGGTTGGTCTCCTGTGACGACTCCTGGGAGGGTCTGGTGTCCGCTACCCCGTCTCAAACGAATCAAAAAAACAAAACCCGGTATTAAGGGAGTCTACCCAAACATACGTACAGAAGCAAAAAGCAAACGGGCGGCTGCACCCATTCGTGGTTGGGATTGTCCACCAACCTTCTCTTCTCTTTCCAGGGTTGTGATTCTGGCTCAAGCGACGTGCGAGGCAACCACATGCACGGCCTAACACCCAGGGTGTACCGCTCATGGCTCCAGGCTACTGGCTCCGTGAGAAGTTGGAGGCTCAAAAATGCCGACGACTCCGCGAATTATTGGTGTAGTGCATATGGGCCGGGGGGGGGGGGAGAGGCCCAAGAATACATTATACAACCCCAGTACCCCAGGAGGACATGGGAACACTGCATTGCCTCGCTGTGGGGTAATATCCCCCCCCCCCGGCGTCCTTCCAAAACCAAAGGTAGACTTTCAATCATGTGTCAGTTCGCATCTTGGCTGTCTCCCCGTTCTCTCCCCAATGTTCGCAAAATTATCCTTCGTAATGCCCAAAATGGAACCCTAGTAAGTGGGAAACATGGACTCAAACCTGCAATCCCCTGGTGTAGTTTTGACCCATACCCATATTGTAGACATGTGGCTGTGGGTCAAAACCAATGGTACCATTTGGGGGTAGGTGCACCTTAGTGGGGATTGGAATGTTCACTAGGGGTATGGGTTTTTGACCCATGGCCATGTCTTTCTTCACCACGTGCCCAGTCCCCGGCAAACGCCTCCAACCCCCAAGCCGACAAATGGCTCGCCGCTCACCTCGAGCGTGAAGGACAGCAGCGTTTCCGTCGGGGAGCTGCTGCGCACCTGGAAACTCGTGGGAGGGGGTGGGGGATGGGGGGGGGTCTCTTTTGGGCTAGTTGGGGATTGGGGGTTGTGGGTTGGTTAGGGGATACACCAAGAACCAGGAGTTGGTTGTTGAACCAAATGGTCTCAATCCGATGGGAGGCGAAGCAAAGGAAATGCCGTGGTTGGGCTTGGGTTAAAGGGAAGCCAAAGGAACACCGAGTTGTTTGTTTCGGGCGGAATACCCCAAAAAGACGACACATGAGCTCACTGGGACACCCCTTCTGGTTCGCCAGATCAGCAGGAATTGGAACCAGCCCCTTCTCAGGCCGCAACGAGTGGTTTCTTCAAGGGTCCCAATTTTGGGCCCGGGCACCCCTTTGTACTTGAGCTCCCAAGCCGGCGGGTGGTTTTTCCAATAATACCCCTGAAGTGGCTGCCTTCAGCACACAAGTACTCTATCAGTATGTCGATTTTCCAGGCACTACCCCCAGGTCAGAACTAAAATTATGCACTAACTATCCCCAGGGTGATTTTGGATACTGCATAAGAAAAATCCAGCGCTTGTACCACGCTTGATACATAGAGAAAGAAAATTGTGACTCTGGAGTAGTCGAAACCCGAATCGAGAATGCGAAAAAGGACGAAGAGAAAAGGGGTCGGGACCCAGATTCTCTGGCCTCCCCTTGGGAAACGAGCCTGGGTTTGAATTTGGGAAACCAAAGGGAGCCCAACCATTTCCTGGATCCATTTGCGAAACAACTCAGATCACATTCCTGGGGAGCAAGCCTAAAGGAAAGCGGGCATCGATGCTTTTCCTTCGGCTCCCATCATGAATTAGAACGGGGGCCGAACATTCTGCTTTCCAGTTTCTGGACATTGACATCTGAAGAGTAGGAACATCACGTTGGGAACTAACAGCTCAGCATTCGTGGGGAAAAGCATGGTGGGAAACACATGGGTGTGTCTTTGGTTCATGGCACCCCCGTTGTCTTGGAAATGGAAACCGAAGAAAAAAACACCAATTTCAAGTGCCCCCATTTTATGACACACACACACAAGCGTCAAATGTGCAAGAAACGGCCGAGCCACTCAAGTCAGCAAAAATCATCTCGGAGGTGTTGAACCGCTAACCGGCAGCGCCCCAACCCAACCGGAACAGCAGCAAGGCAAGGCTACCACCTGCAGGTGTACCCAAGCCTCATGTTCGGGATGTGCGCCCGATGCCAAAAATTGGCCTGCGTAAGGGTTACGAGCATGGAGAGTAAGACACCAGGGATTGGTTGACTTTTCTAATCCTTTTGGCTCATGGAGAGCAAGTTGAACATGCCAGTCCAAAACAACCAGCAAGACCCGACGTGGCGCCACGCCTCTGTGCAAGCCGTCCACGCCTGCGGCTCCGATGGAAGAATTTGGCGATTTGGAAATCCTCTCGGTTCCCTCAGTTGGGTGACCTAAAAGGGCTCTAGCATGCAGACATTATTGTCTCTTGGTGCCAGTTAAACGAATCCCCTGAATCAGAAGCCAAAGCTTGCCCATATTTGCCTGAGCACCTGAATGAGGTCCTCCATGTTAGAATGCCAAGACGTGTTGTTTCTCATGGCGATGCTATAAAGCTGTTGGTGTACCTCGGTAGCCCAAAGGAATATCAAAGGTTGGCCTTTCGGGGCCATGACTAAAAATGGACCAAAAAGGGGAAGCTCAAAGGTCAAACGGCTGGCCTTGTTTGGGCAAGCGAGATGAGTTTCCTTTTGGCTGCATGTGTCCGGAAGTGTCCAACCACTGCGCGGCACCCCAAGCAGAGGGTTGGAAGGCCCCCCGGTTTAATCCTCGTTCGTGAGAAGGGTTCTATCGCAGTCCTTAAAAACAAATAAATAAAAAATGCCTGAACAAGTAGCAGTAGAAACCACAAACTATAGCTGCCCAGTATGCGGCCTGTTGCCACAGAAAAAGCAATCGTCCTTTCTGTCTGCAGCCTCGTTAGCGCGAAACAGCTTCTGCAATGCGTCTGATAACTACCGCGTTATAAAGCAGGCCACTGCCTCAGCATCTGCCCTGAGCATCCCTGCAACTGCAACCATTTGGGAACACGTTTCGGGTTACGCCGCAGGATGTTGTTCCGTTCTTCAAATCCGCTCGAATCCACACGCCCGAAGTCTAGGGTGCCCGGGCGGCTGGGGGCGCAGGGCAAAGCACCCCGGGAGCCGGGCGGTGCGGCCTTGGGCTTTGGCTGGTCATCCTGGTCAGTTCTGTCGCAAGGATCCGGATTTGAGAAGGTACCCAAAACCATGCACAACAATCGGGCCTTTGAGAGAATCCTTTCCTCTCTGGGAGCCCTTGACATCCATAGGACAATTCAACATGCCACCACCTTCAATCATCTAGGTCAAGCATCTAAAAGGGGTTCGCATCGAGACAGACGCATGATTACTGAGATACTCCCTCTGCCAAGAAGCAGGAGGGATTCTCCTCAAATGTCATTTTGTTGCGGTAGG